GGGGGGGGGGGGGGGTTAGCACCCGTTGGGGCCTAAAAAGCCACTGAAATTCATAAATTTTACCGGTCCAGGGGGGGCCGAGCCCCCATAGCCCCCCTCCCCTGAATACGTCTATGAAAGTGATGTATTGTACTTTACATTGATTTAATTATGATTTTCAATACGTCCTGCATTAGATTTCAGTTTTACGAATTCTTTTGAAATTTTATGATCATTTTAAAAAATACACTTTTTCAAAAATAGAGAATTTTAATTTCACGGAAAATAGATTGAGGATAATATCTATATACTCGAATTTGTATCTGTAAAAATATTGTTATGGCTATAATATCCCAATGATCTAAACCAACTGAAAATCTCTCTGTTAAAAGATGGTTAAAAGCATATATTTGGGCGCTTTCTGCAAATCAATAATATATTGTAAAGAATCACAACACAATTTCAAGGTTAAGTAAAGTTGACCACTTGTTACATTCTTATTACTAAAATAAAATCTAAAAGAAAGCATCTGCACATTTTAGAAAACACGAAGCAAATCAGAATTAGTTTAGGTTTTGTTGACTTAATATGTTGTAAACAAATGCAATTTCATCAAGGTATAAAATTCTCGTGAATAGTTAATTCATCTTAATATACAACAAATGAGAGAGTACATTGTAAAAAAAGCAGTCAATAAAAGTCAGTATAAAATTTGTTTATTTTTGAAAAACATTTTGTTTACAATAATTTTTACCTTTTAGCCGTAAGAAATCTTCCGACATTAGAATCAGAGTTTATCTAATAAAAAACAATAATATTAATAACAATGAGAAGAAGAAGAAGAAGAAGAAGAAGAAGAAGAAGAAGAAGAAGAAGAAGAAGAAGAAGAAGAAGAAGAAGAAGAAGAAGAAGAAAAAGAAGAAGAAGAAGAAGAAGAAGAAGAAGAAAAAGAAGAAGAAGAAGAAGAAGAAGAAGAAGAAGAAGAAGAAGAAGAAGAAGAAGAAGAAGAAGAGTATACCTGGAAAGGTGCACAAGCTCCATGAAGTTCATGAAATGAACCATGGTCCAAGGAACAAGACCAAGAGTCTTCACATCTGAAATTATGACAAAATAAACAATTAAAATAAAATATTTATTAAAATCTTCTTTAATATTAGAAAATAAGTTAATGACAAAATTTTGTATGAAAGATAGATTCTACGAAAAGGTTTTTTAATGTGCATATTGCAGATATGTTACAGTTACACCTGCATACAGTTGTGCAGGAATAAAAAACAGTCTTTTAACACAATTACAAATCTAATAACAATATTATTTTGGTTTGCAGTGCTATGCATATTATGCATGTAGACATTTTCTCTTTAATCGAAAGGTTCTAGCCTTAAAGATTATATTGGTCCAGAGCTTCAGCAGATATAAATTTATCATGACTTGAAATTTCGGTGCTAATGCTCTCCAAAGACGATCTGAAGTTCGTCACAAAATTCCCATGTGAACTGGTTCACTCTGGATGTTATCTTGAAAGAACAAATGTTGCGTTGATACCCTTTCTAATTATATGCATATAACTATTTTTAAACCTTTAACTGTTTGAATTGGATTTACATGATACTTTTAAACAATTTTTATCTGTTTTAACAATTAATAAATCTTTATTAAAATTTCTGAATATAGAGATAATTTTGAATTTTAATTTCTAATACTGTACAATGTTTAAATCTTTTAAATCTTTTTGTTAAAGTATTGATAGTTGTATTAAATAACATATTTAAAGATGGAAAAGTAAGACCTGAACAAAATTGGGTACTGTGCTCCTCTTTAGATAGAGGTCCACTTAATATTTCGTCAATAGTCCTTTTAAGATTTAGAAGTTCTAAATATGAAAATAATTTTACCTAGAGCACTTGAACTTTGCTTCCCTAGGACACATATCACACTTATTTATAACATTATTCTCGTTACAGTCCAGAGCATAAGACTCGTCGTGTTTTAAACCAGGATAAGAAGAAGAAAAGTCATCTTTTGATGACTTAAAATCCATCTCCTCTAACTCAAATTTTTCAGAATTTAGGTGTGATGAAACCTCCATGTTTAGTATAGAGCAGTGTATAGGTGACTGCTTTCTTTCTTAGGGAATAGACAACTTGGGGGCATGGGGGCATGGGAGGGGGAAAGTATTAAGGGAGGGGGAAAGGTATGCTATGTGGGGTTGTGAAGGTGTAGGGGGATTTAAATATAAGATTTACTGTATACACCTGCTCTATGAACACATGTGTAATATAGATGAATACGAAGATATACTTTTAAAGAACATAAAGAGAGAAGACAGGGCTAGAGACTTTATAAATTACTCGACTATTTTTAGTGAAAATACTTTTCACGTAACCCTTTCTTCTTCAATATCACCAAATCCTTACTCCTCCTACATCTCCCTCCTCTATTCATACTCCTCCGTTCCCTCCCAAAATCCTTACTCGTCCCCCTTCTCCCTCTTACTCCTTCCCTTTCTCCCTCTTACTCCTTCCCCATCTCCCTCTTATTCCTTCTTCCTCTTACTCCTTCCCCTTCTCCCTCTTATTCCTTCCCTTCTCCCTCTTACTCCTTCCCCTTCTCCCTCTTATTCCTTCCCTTTCTCCCTCTTACTCCTTCCCTTTCTCCCTCTTACTCCTTCCCCATCTCCCTCTTATTCCTTCTTCCTCTTACTCCTTCCCCTTCTCCTTCTTATTCCTTCCCTTCTCCCTCTTACTCCTTCCCTCTATCCATCAAATGTTCTATTCATCAAATGTCCTATTAATCAAATGTCCTATCCATCAAATGTTCTATTCATTAAATGTTCTATTCATCAAATGTTCTATCCATCAAATGTTCTATCCATCAAATGTTCTATCCATCAAATTTTCTATTCATCAAATGTTCTATTCATCAAATGTTCTATCCATCAAATGTTCTATCCATCAAATGTTCTATTCATCAAATGTCCTATTCATCAAATGTTCTATCCATCAAATGTTCTATTCATCAAATGTTCTATTAATCAAGTGTCCTATCCAACAAATGTTCTATCCATCAAATGTTCTATCCATCAAATGTTCTATCCATCAAATGTCCTATTCATCAAGTGTCCTATTCAACAAATGTTCTATCCATCAAATGTTCTATCCATCAAATGTTCTATCCATTAAATGTTCTATTCATCAAATGTTCTATCCATCAAATGTTCTATCCATCAAATGTCCTATCCATCAAATATTCTATCCATAAAATGTTCTATTCATCAAATGTCCTATTAATCAAATGTCCTATTAATCAAATGTCCTATCCATCAAATGTTCTATCCATCAAATGTTCTATCCATCAAATGTTCTATTCATCAAATGTCCTATTAATCAAATGTCCTATCCATCAAATGTTCTATCCATCAAATGTTCTATCCATCAAATGTTCTATCCATCAAATGTTCTATTCATCAAATGCCCTATCCATCAAATGTTCTATCCATCAAATGTTCTATCCATCAAATGTCCTATCCAACAAATGTCCTATCCAACAAATGTCCTATCCAACAAATGTCCTATCCAACAAATGTCCTATCCAACAAATGCCCTATCCATCAAATGTTCTATTCATCAAATGTTCTATTCATTCAATGTTCTATTCATCAAATGTTCTATCTATGAAATATTCTATGAAATTATATTTTATGAAATGGTAAATCCGAATACAATTCTACAAATAAAATTTTTTTTACTGTTTTATTTATTTGGTTTTTATCATATACACTTAACAATCACTAAAATACAAACATTTTCTGCATAGCATTTTTGAAAGGCAAAATTTTTAACAACAAAAAAGGTTCATAAAAGGATAAATTAAGACACTTTTTGTAATGACAAAATATTTTTTTAATAAGCTTTTGGATTGTGCTTTTAGGTTAATGTTAAAATTTCTACTAAAGCATTAATTCTGATTTTTTCAAACATAATGAATTTTTAATCCTCAAAAATTTATTGGGTCCGGGATCTGAAAATAATTTACAAAAATATTTACTTTTAATTATTCCATTTTGTCTAAATTTATTTGCACCTACATAAATTAGAATGCAATTGCTTTGCTTACAAACAAACTAAATCATAAAGATATTCTAACAAAATCCAAATATCAAGTATATTTATGTTAAATACAGTGCTCGGCGATTTTATTAATAAAATGAAGACAACTTTTTTATTTAAGTTTTGATTAATAACAAGCTTTTTTAGAATTACAAGTTTACAAGGAAACAAAGGAAAGCTTCTCATTGTTTACATGTTTATGCGTATCCATGCTGTTTAACAGCTATGGATATAAATCAAAGTTGAGATCGATAGTTATCTTCATTGTATTGATATATGTGACGACGACTGTAGAAAATCATTGTTTGTTTCATTTTTATGTTAAAAACAATCAGAACAATTAAACTTTTAGAGCTCCGAACTTTTCTAAAGTTAATCTATTCCAAAAACCACTTAATCCGTATCCTTCATTATTTAATATATTAAGTTAAATCTTTGTGGATATATGTGACTAAAAGATCAAAGGATTAAGTACTTAACACTGGCCTCATATTGAAAGTTTCCATTGTAGATATCGAGATTAGGCGCCTGCAGTGGAAAAAGGTAAATATTTTTTTATAAACTATAAAAGCAAAATCTTGACTACAGTTTCAGGTAAACCGGTTTGTAAAATGTAAACAGTACAATGATGCAAAATCAGCATTCAGCAGTGTACGACTCACTGTACAGACATTTTATCAAGGAGATATTGAATAGAAGGAGGGGGCGATAGGGTTTCCGTACACTTTGCTGTGACGTTTTTGGACTGCTGAAGAACTAGTTTTTGCGTAACAACAATAATAAAGATTGTAAACAATAACACTAATGATAAACAGACATCTGGCATCTCTGGCGTATTTATAAAGGGGGGGGGGACAGGATAACCTTGAATTTGATTAAAAATGTCGCTGTAATAAGGTCCTTTTCGTATAAAACTAAAATCCTTAACTTTTTAATCTTTTTTAACAAGATAATACTACTTTCACAGTTTACTAACTCATGTTTGTTTACATTAGATCGGCTGCCTTTGTTATTGTTGTTACGCAAAAACTAGTTCTTCAGCAGTCCAAATACGTCACAGCAAAGTGTACGGAAACCCTATCGCCCCCTCCTTCTATTCAATATCTCCTTGCATTTTATGAACTTAAATACAACAATGTACATTGAACACAATGAAAAAATATTATATTAAAATGCACTGATGTAAATTATAGGACTTGTACTATGCAATGTAAAGAAGTACACTAATATATATTTTGATGTTCCGTACTCATAGGGTACCGGACAGCAGTAAATGTATAAGTAACTCATCCTGTACACAGCAGAACAGTGAAATAGTGTATAGTTTGAGGATATACGTACTCCTCCTCCTATGCACAGCAGAGTGTAGTACAGCAGTACAGTGTGCTAGTGTATAGTTAGAGGCTAAATTGACTCCTCCTGTCCACAGCATAGTACCGCATTGTAGTGTACTCCTCCTGTGCATACCAGAGTATAGTACAGCAGTACAGTGTAATAGTGTATACTTAATATACTCCTCCAGTGCACATCAGAGTATAGTTCAGCAGTACATGGTGTACTAATGTATAGTTAGAGGATATATAATCCTCCTGTGCACAGCAGAGTATAGTACAGAAGTACATGGTGTACTAATGTATAGTTAGAGGATAAATGTACTCCTCCTGTGCACAGCAGAGTATAGTACAACAGTACATGGTGTACTAATGTATAGTTAGAGGATAAATGTACTTCTCCTGTGCACAGCAGAGTATAGTACAACAGTACATGTTGTACTAATGTATAGTTAGAGGATAAATGTACTCCTCCTGTGCACAGCAGAGTATAGTACAACAGTACAGTGCAGTGAATGCTGTAGATGAGATGAACCCTGCCAGGATTGCTGGAAAGATGTAATCGTTAATGAAGACCCTGGGTAGGATGGTCAGGTGGATCAGGGGAGAGTAGATCTGGGAGAAATTCAACATTATCCACAATAGGGCCTGAAAAAGTGTTTAATCATAAGCGTGAAAGTAGTATATTTGTTCCTTCTTTTTGTGCCCGTTAGGACAGTGAATCAACCTTATTCATTTATTTGATGTTGTTAGCAAGCAACCTGTTTTACCAGTATTATGTGTATTTGATGTTGTTAGCAATCAACCTGTTTTACCAGTATTATGTGTATTTGATGTTGTTAGCAATCAACCTGTTTTACCAATATTATGTGTATTTGATGTTGTTAGCAATCAACCTGTTTTACAAATATTATGTGTATTTGATGTTGTTAGCAATCAACCTGTTTTACCAATATTATGTGTATTTGATGTTGTTAGCAAGCAACCCGTTTTACCAATATTATGTGTATTTGATGTTGTTAGCAATCAACCTGTTTTACCAATATTCAACCTGTTTTACCAATATTATGTGTATTTGATGTTGTTAGCAAGCAACCTGTTTTACCAATATTATGTGCATTTGATGTTGTTAGCAATCAACCTGTTTTACCAATAACTTAAAAATAACTGTAATGGGAACACTGCACAATTTCTGTGGTTCTTGGACTTTAAAAGATTTTGGTTTCTAACAGTCGTCTTCCAATTCTACTGATTTATGGGTCCCAATGTATTTATAAAAGGCCCTGTAACGTGTAAGCGGAGTTTCTAGTGACCCCTTCGTGCAAAGATGGCAATGCAAGAATTCACAACCCTTAAAACCAATTATCAGATCAATATTGAGAAAATATTGTTGTTATTCTAGGTTTTCAAGTGTTTTTTTCTGAACATTCCTACATGAAATTACATTGAATAATGCATTTTTACTGTACTGTTACGTAACAGAACAGTAAAAATACGCAATTCAATTTTGTAGATAAAACCAAGGTACTAATGCAAGGAAAGTTATTTCAGAGGTGTTCGCATTTTTTGTACTGCAGTGTACTGTCTTTGGGTGGAAAAGTAAACACAAGACGGATTCCACAGCCTGACATGAAACCCATTTTCAAAAAAATTCCACCCAGAGAGAACTGGTTTCAATATGTACGCAGAGTATACACAACCGCAATTAACTTTCCTTGCATTAGTACCTTGGAAAAAACGCATCAGAAAATCATCATTTTTTAAGATAAAAATCATGGATACTAATTTATGCTTGATAAGACAAAGCTTTTAAGGATAAATCAGACTTTTCCAACTTGACATGAAGGGTCACTTATGCTTACAGTCCCTTTAAGTCCCTTACCAGTGATACTCCTAGGACGAAAGCTCCGAATATAAGATGAAGAGCAAGATAGCGTTTACTTCGTTCTCGGAGGATCTCCACCTGCTCCGGACTCCGTTCACTATATCTAACCTCGTCGCTTACATAGCCTAGAGGTTGGAACTTGGGATTCCGACACCTACAATATACAATATATATCCTACAATATACAATATATATCCTACAATATTCATACAATATTTATCCTACAATATACATACAATATTTATCCTACAATATACATACAAGGTGTCCCAATAAACATGGGAATTCAGTGACGAATTCAATATCGTCTTTGTTATGAATTAGCATTGTAATACCTGATTTAAGAGACATAATATTATTATGTCTGCTAGAGTTTATTTGATGAAAACGGTAAATGGCTGTCAAGATGTGTTTGTGATGTCTTTGTAAGACGAACAGTGAAGACGGACAAGTTTACTCTGTTTGTATACTGTAATTTTCTTGTTTTACTAAGTACAACCGTATTTGTATACTGTAATTTCCTTGTTTTACTAAGTACAACCGTATGCAGAAACAAATTGTAAACATAGCACATGAATATCTTACGGATTACAGCTTTCTGAGTAGGTATCACTATATTAAATCAAAGAATTATTTGAAAAGACGATTTCGAATTCGTCACTGAATTCCCATGTTTATTGGGACACCCTGTACAATACATATCCTACAATATACAATATATATTCCTGCAATATATATATCCTACAATATACATACAAAATATATATATCCTACAATATACATACAATATATATATAAAATATATATTCCTATAATGCTCAAGGAATAATAATTGTCTTAAAAAATGTTTTACAAAGTGAATATTTGCAGATTATCTTTCTTCCATCTCATGATCTGAGATTTTGACCATTTGATTTAAAATAATTTTTGTTTGTTTATTTTCTTGTGGTTTTTAACATCTACTTTTTTTACTCTACAGAGGTTTGGTCCATCACCATCACCGAAATTTATATTAAAGGGTGGTCGCCAAAAAACCTGTCTTTTTAGTTTTAGGTCTTTAAACCATTGCAAATTGAACAAACTTAATCTTAAAATCGGCAATGAATTTAGCACATGCAACAGGGAAGAGATTGAAACATTTCTCGATAAATTCTGATTTCAAACATGCCCTCACGAGCCATTTATAATGCTGTACTTCATGATACCCTGCTGTCAGCTAAGGGATCTTTTTAATAATTCGGTTTAAGTGTTCCAATTCTCATCAGAACCAATAAAAAATTAAACACAAATAAGCAGAGAACAATATAGTTGATTAATTCCTACAGGCTATAGAATAAGAACAACTACCCAGGGGACCAAGAAAAGAAGAAAAAATACGAATTAAAGGAAGAGAATCTAGAGATTATTTAAAAACGTTGCTCTGCAGTACAACTGCATTACTTCTTAAACAGGTTCCTTTACAGGCATAATGTAAAACTAAAAAATATTTAAATTTGATCAGAAAAGATCAATTTATTAAAATATGATCAACACTGATTTTTGATTTCTGTTTATCAAGAAATAGTAAATAATGGTGTGGGTTGGTCTTTTAGCCATTTTAAAGTCATTTTTTAAAGAATATATGAAGAATTCTTGTCAAAAGGTTTGATGAACCGGATGATCCATTGCTGAGATTACTTTTATGATCCCGCAAATTCCATGGATTTGCTGGCAGCTGGGATATACAGAAAATTGAGCTTTGACCAGCTTGCGCTTTATCAGAATGCATGATGGAATGTTTCATTTTCTTACTTAGTCCATGTACATAGTAGAAGGCCCAAAAAGTAAAAAGACAGGTTTTTTGGCGAGCATCCCTTATATTCCCAATTCCCTTCAACTGTAAATCATTTAATAAACCTTGAAAAGACTGTATTCAAGGCATAAGACTAAATTTATCCTTGGGATCGTTATACCCTTACTTAAGTCTTTACAATCTCATCCTTTTTGGGTAACCCTGTCTCTGATTGCTAGTTAGAATTATAGAAAGTAGATAATCTAGCAAATTTCATATTTTGACATATCAAAGGTCTACGAAATCAGATTTCAAAGACATAAGGTCCAGAGACAGTTAGAGTTTAATTAAAAAAAATCAAAATGATCCAACCTATTAAATCCTGCTGGAGCCAGGAGGCTGGAAACTCCGTAGACGAGGCTGCGAGGAAGGTCGAGGCCGAGGATCTTGAAGGAGAGGATGTTTAGAATGAGGATGATGAGGATTGGGATGATGGTGTACTGCTGGTAGAAGATGAGGAGGAGGGAGAGGGCGAGAGCTCGGTAAAGAATGGCGGAGGTATAAAAAGGCACAGCAACAACTAGTCTTAAATATCATATTATATTTATATAAAATTATATTTATATAAAATTATATCATATTATATTTTATAGCATAAATTCAATGCCAAGTTTTATAATTTCAACTATTTGTAGACTAAGTTGAACCATTTTTTTGTTTGCCGGTACAAGTATATGAGAAGTGGCTCAATTTAGTCTCAGTAGTTCAACTATACTTCTCGTTAAATTTGATCCCATGGTAGAGGAAATTCATTAGTGAAGAGGGATAGTTGAACTAGGTGTATAAGTTTGTTCTTCAACCCAGTAAATCTACACTTAAACTGGTAGTTAAACCAGCTTTGAGTCTAGTTCAAACAACTCTTTCTTTTCATAAACCGCTGTAACTCATTGGTACTGACTGATTAATACAAAAAATCAAACTTCTTTAAATAAAGTTTACACAAACAAATGAATAATGAAAAAGTTACCTCCAAATAGAACTTGATTTTTTCTCACATTCGTTAAAATAAACGATGGTTTGAATCAGAGAGATGACTGAGAAAAAGAGACTGTAAACCTACATATTAAATTTTATTAGTTTGACCCAATTGTTTTAATAGAAAGTTCTATTTTGCTATCTCAGAAAGATTTGGTGCAGATTTTTACTTACAATTTTTTGCGGATTTTTTTAATACCTATTTTTTTTCATCTGTAGATTTTTACGGGAAAAAAATAGAAAAACAAATTTTTACAGAACTAAAACAGTTTCGCTGATTTAAAAAATGTTCCCTTTATTTCAAAATATTTTAAACTTGGGGAATGCGGCGGGGGTGGGGGCCGGGGGACTGTTTTCATACTATTGACATTAGTGATCAGAGAAAGGTTTCAAGGGTACCGTTGTGAATTAGGCATTCCCATACTTAAATGGCGTGTCACTTTAAAGGGAGTGTTCGCGGAAAAAAGAGATTATCGGCTTTTGGCGAAAAATCATCGATGGTGATCGCTACCATGAATCTTACTTCTATTTTTCCGGCTATAAGAAGAAAATTGTTAAACGCGACTCTTACCGAAGAAGTAGCGTTTATAAAAATTCAGAAAGTTGCAACAATTTATTTCCAAACCAATCATTCAGATATTACAACCTATTCATCGATAATTTTTCGACGCATTCGTAAATTGTTTTATATTGTATAATGTTTTTGTTTAAATTTTTTTTTTAAATACAATGCACTTAAAACGCGGAGGATGTCCAGCTTGTTCAATAATATTACCTGTATAAGCCTCCAATACCATCTAGCAGGGTGTCCAGCTTGTTGTATAATATTACCTGTATAAGCCTCCAATACCATCTAGCAGGGCGTTCAGCTTGTTCACTAATATTACCTGTATAAGCCCCCAATACCATCTATTAGGGTGTTCAGCTTGTTCAATAATATTACCTGTATAAGCCCCCAATACCATCTATGGGTGTTCAGCTTGTTTAATAATATTACCTGTATAAGCCCCCAATACCATCTAGCAGGGTGTTCAGCTTGTTGAATAATATTACCTGTATAAGCCCCCAATACCATCTAGCAGGGTGTTCAGCTTGTTGAATAATATTACCTGTATAAGCCCCCAATACCATCTAGCAGGGTGTTCANTTTAATTAAATGATTATATGGAACTCTTTAAAACTGTTCCCGCATATTCATGGCTATTTATTTATTTTCGCAATTACTGAAATTTACGTAATATAGTATAAAACTCATTGAAAAATTGTCAAGACGACATTTGATAAATTCTTCCGATGTATTCGTTATTAAGGGTTTCACTGTATAAGATTAAAGGGACTGTAATCGTTATTTCAAGGACCCTTTCCTGCAAAATTGGCCATATTCACAGCGTTACCCTTAAAACCTTTCTCTGATCAAGTGTGAATTAGATTTCTATGTTTTTAATTTTGAATTTTGACTTGAACATTTCTATTACAAAAAAATCATATCAGAATTATCAGAATTTAATAATTTTCTAGCGAATAAACGATAACGTCTTTTATATTATAAATAAGGTAAAGGTTTAAAGATACCTTTGTGAATCGGTCATTACCATCTTTGCAAGGACCGGGACACTGGAAGTGACTAACAGTCCCTTTAACTGAGATTGCTATTTAACCCCGAAAATTAATCAGGGTTCGGACAAATAATAAAAAATCTTTATGTCCAGGGCTGCAAAAACGTATATAAAGAAACTCGAAAGGTTAAACCTAAAAATGGCAAAATCCAGCGACACTTCAAACTCGGCCTGGTTGTACCTGGAGAGAATATAAAGGTTCAAAATGATTTGACCCGCAGCTGTTATAAATCCTTCTAGGCTCCTCAAATACATCCCTTCCCTACAAACACAATCGAGTAAAGGGAGTGACCGCGTAGACATGGTAGCTAAACTGAGAGTGAGTATTGTAGAGAATTTTTTTGGATTCATTTGAGACCTATAAGACGTTTTTACTTTAAACAATACATGCACTCTTAGCTCAACTACTATGTCTACGCGGTCACTCCCTTTAATTATACTAATTTTTACTTCTCGTTTACTGTTAAAACAAGTAAAATATGAGAATGCAATAATAACGAGAAAGCAAAGTGAGGAAACATATTATAAAGAGCGCATATTGGATACGTTACATTCCGCCGTAAACTCCAGTTCATTTAGAATTGTGGAATACCGTGCCGACTTTCATACAGCTATGGCAAGTCGTACTGTATAAGTACAGACTATAGACGGCAAAACGGAACAGTACACCAACTGCATTATCTCCACTTTATGAGATTACTCTAATTCTAACAAACAGCTAAATATGAGAGCTTTATCAAATAATTCTTTTTATTTGGTATTTACCTTTTACATGTCAAATGACAGGTCCCCAGCAGCATCATGATTACAGTAAATATAGGGTAGATGAATAGATATAACCAGTCAGCAGCATTCCTATAATACAGTGAATACAGGATAGATGAATAGATACTGTAGTATTTCTATAATACAGAGAATACAGGATAGATAAATAGATACAGTAGTATTCCTATAATACAGTGAATATAGGGTTGATGAATAGATTTAACCAGTCAGCAGCATTCCCATAATACAGTGAATACAGGATAGATGAATAGATATAACCAGTCAGCAGCATTCCTATAATACAGTGAATACAGGATAGATGAATAGATATAACCAGTCAGCAACATTCCTATAATACAGTGAATATAGGGTAGATGAATAGATATAATCAGTCAGCAGCATTCCTATAATACAGTGAATACAGGATAGATGAATAGATATAACCAGTCAGCAGCATTCCTATAATACAATGAATATAGGATAGATGAATAGATATAACCAGTCAGCAGCATTCCTATAATACAATGAATTAGATGAATAGATATAACCAGTCAGCAGCATTCCTATAATACAATGAATATAGGATAGATGAATAAATATAACCAGTCAGCAGCATTCCTATAAATAAATATAATACAATGAATATAGGGTAGATGAATAGATATAACAAGTCAGTAGCATTCCTATAATACAATGAATATAGGATAGATGAATAGATATAACTAGTCAGCAGCATTCCTATAATACAGTGAATACAGCATAGATGAATAGATATAACCAATCAGCAGCATTCCTATAATACAGTGAATATAGGGTAGATGAATAGATATAACCAGTCAGCAGCATTCCTATAATACAGTGAATACGGGATAGATGAATAGATATAACCAGTCAGCAGCATTCCTTTAATACAGTGAATATAGGATAGATGAATAGACATAACCAGTCAGCAGCATTCCTATAATACAGTGAATACAGGATAGATGAATAGATATAACCAGTCAGCAGCATTCCTATAATACAATGAATATAGGGTAGATGAATAGATATAACCAGTCAGCAGCATTCCTTAATACAGTGAATATAGGATAGATGAATAGATATAACCAGTCAGCAGCATTCCTTAATACAGTGAATACGGGATAGATGAATAGATATAACCAGTCAGCAGCATTCCTATAATACAGTAAATATAGGATAGATGAATAGACATAACCAGTCAGCAGCATTCCTATAATACAGTGAATACAGGATAGATAAATTGATATAACCAGTAAGCAGCATTCCTATAATACAGTGAATACGGGATAGATGAAGAGATATAACCAGTCAGCAGCATTCCTTTAATACAGTGAATACGGGATAGATGAATAGATATAACCAGTCAGCAGTATTCCTATAATACAGTGAATACGGGATAGATGAATAGATACAGTAGTATTACTATAATACAGAGAATACAGGATAGATAAATAGATACAGTAGTATTCCTATAATACAGTGAATATAGGATATATGAATAGATACAGTAGTATTCCTATAATACAGTGAATACAGGATAGATGAATAGATATAACCAGTCAGCAGCATTCCTATAATACAGATAATACAGGATAGATGAATAGATACAGTATTCCTATAATACAGAGAATACAGGATAGATAAATAGATACAGTAGTATTCCTATAATACAGTGAATACAGAATAGATGAATAGATACTGTAGTATTCCTATAATACAGAGAATACAGGATAGATGAATAGATACAGTAGTATTCCTATAATACAGTGAATACAGGATAGATGAATAGATACTGTAGTATTCCTATAATACAGTGAATACATGATAGATAAATAGATACAGTAGTATTCCTATAATACAGTGAATACAGGCTAGAAACATACAGTGCACGATTAACTGCATGAAATACACTGCTTAACCTTCTTAAAGAAGGAATAAGAAGTTTAGTTTTTTTGCTTCACTAACCTTCCACAAACTCCCTCGTAAAGACAGCATTTATATATCTCTGCTAGAACTGCTATAATACCAGGAGCCGCCACTAACAATAACATCAGTAGTCCATCTAAAAAGCAGTATTTTTATTTTCTTTTCTATTTTAAATTAAATTTTAAAAGTAGTTCCTGAAACTTACATTCCGGATGATCATTAAGGATCAGTTCTACTCCGCATGCAATATCCGTAAATACATCCAGTATAAATAGTAGGACCAGGAGAACCGTCCCAACCCCACCCATCCTGCTCCAACTACTCAATCTATATACTGAGAAATAAATTCTCGTCAAATTCTTATTTAAACATCTTATCCTAAAAATGTTTAAATAAATTAAACAATATCTTATTATATTTCTGTTTTTTGCTAATTCTAAATAATTTAAGTATTTTTGCATTCACAATTTCACAGTGTTTAGATTCACTTTTAATGGTATATGTAATAGATACATAACTTGCAAAGTTCACTCTCTTTGTTTATATATAATATATCTACAGCCATACACCACTGTTTATATTTAACTATAAGAATGATACTGCACTGGAGTGTAAAGTGGTATACTGGAAGCCGGTACTGTAAACTGTTCTTTCCTAGGAGGGGGAGCGGGAGGGGGTGCGCTCGATATTTTCGATCGATATTTAGCGTCCCAATGTTTCATAAATCAGATCCATCAATCATTAATTTGTACGTTTCTGTCATGTTTCATGAAAATCAGCTTTTTCATTATATGTAATAAAACAGTTAGTGTCGTAGACCTTTGAGATTTCAAACTATATATTTTGTCAGATCTAATAGTCTAAATTTTGTATAAGAAAGGTTTGCAATTACACAATTAGGTTGCACAGAGATAGGAATTAGAAAATTTGAGTTTGTGGCAAAAACTCAATTCCTTTTTTAAGTTAACTCTAATATATGCTTGAATGGCTGAAAGGGTAAAATAAATAGGGAAGTAACAAAAATAAAGATTGAAATTATAATAAAGGTTACAATGGATGTTATTATTCTGTATTCTAATTTGCAAGTTTATTTTAGTAAACTCAAACCATTTGGTAAACTTTTTCTGAAAAATGTGCAGATATCTTTTTCAACGTATACGTCATCTTTTTAGAAAACAGACACATTTTCTTTGCAATTCAGTGAAATTAACTAGGTTTTAAGGATTACATAAGTAAGAAAGTTACAAAAGGAAAAGATAGAAATTAATGGAAAGAGCTATAATGCAAGTTTATTAATTAGTAAACTGCAATTAATTTCAACACAGATTTTTTAAACTGAAATTTTTTATTATAGAGCAATTTCTTTTTTAATATATATATGCCATCTTTTTAGAAAATACCTTTTCTCATTGGACTGCAGGCAGCAATTCAATGATATTAACTCAAATAGGCTTAAAGGATTACATAAGTAAGAAAGTTACAAAAAGCAAGATAGAAATTAATGGGAAGAATTATAATGCAAGTTTGTTTTCAATACTAACAATATTATTGTTACAAAATTGTCTTCTATAATTTTCAAATAAAACCTAGAGTGACCCTCCGTATAAACAAATGCCAATGCTCAAGTTACAACGGTACCCTTAAACGCTTTGTCTGTTTAACTATGTATAGATATTCATGTTTTTTCTTTAAACTGTTTATTTTCATTTGGTTCTCTGCATAGGTGACTTGCGCATTTCTTGCTTATGAAGCAATGGAGCAAGTTAAACACTTTTTGAATCATGAAAACTGCAATTAATTTCAATACACAGATTTTTTTTAGACTGAATTTTTTATAATAATGCAATTTTCTAAAGACTGTGCAGATATATTTTTCAATATATATATATGCCATCTTTTTAGAAAGCACCTTTTTATAAGGGGTCTACAGGCAGAGGCTGCAATTTAATGAAATTTATTAAAATAGATCTAAAGGATTGAATTAAGTAGGAAAGTTACAAAAAATAGATATAGAAATTAATGCGAAGAGTTAATGGGTGTTATTCTTTTTCCAAACTAAAAGTTTTTTATTCAAATGCATTTGTTTTTGAAACTGCAATCTTCTTAGTAAAATGCAATTTTCTGAAAACTGTGAAGTTATATTTTTCAACGAATATGCCATTTAAAAGAAAATTAAACTATCATCTTTTTTTAGAATTTAAGGCTGAAATAAGAATATTCAAGTAACATAAAGAAAAGATAGGGAAGGGAAGGTAGGGAAGGGAAGAGAAGGTAGGGAAGGTGAGTTAGGAAAGATATAGGGAAAATAAGGCAGGGAAGGGAAGGTATGGAAGGTAAGGTATGGAAGGTAAGGTAAGGAAGGTAAGGTCGGGAAGGTAAGGTAGGGAAGGGAAGGTAGGGAAGGGAAGGTAGGGAGGTGAAGGTATAGGAAGGAAGGATAGGTAGGGAAGGTAGAGAAGGTAGGAAAGGTATAGGGAAAATAAGGCAAGGAAGGGAAGGTAGGGAAGGTAAGGTAGGGGAGGGAAGTTAGGGAAGTGAAGGTATAGGAAGGGAAAGATAGGAAAGGTGGTAATTAAGGGAAGGTGGAAAGGAAAGGTAGGGAAGGTAAGGATGGGATGGTAGGAAAGGGAAAGGTAGGTTGAAGGGTATACCGGGACGGGAAGCAAGGGAAGGGGCTGGTACTGGTAGCTATGGAAAGGGATTGAACAGTTTAGGGAAAGAGGGTGGTGATATTGGGAATATTGGGACACCGGCCTGTTTTTTGATTGTTGTAGAGTAAAAATAAAATCTCTATCACCGCCCTGATTATCCGAGGAAATTATTTTTTTTTATTTTTTTCGGAGAATTTCCGTTTTTATTTTTATTTTTCCTTCCTTTAAAGCTGTCATGAGATTTAAGGGAGTTAAGCTGTCGAAACAGCTGCTTCAGCTGCCCCCAAACCAAACCAAATTCTCCAACGATATGGCGGCTTTACCCTTGTGTGTGTCCATCATAACTCAAATCCGAGAAAACCTAAATCCCCGCGTAAAATAATTTAATTTTATTTTGTATCCTTCTAATCTACTTGTAGCTACATGTCATGCATTTATTCCAGATAAAACCTGGGATTTTCCTTAAATCGAGACACGAAGATTTCGTGAATTGGTCGACATGGTCGACGGCTGAGATATCACTGGAATTTGGAATAACTTAACTGAATTAATATAATATCGGCTGATAACGACTCAACTCTAAAGGTAGCAGTTTCTCTAATTGAAGGTTAAATTTTTCCCAGTAATAAATTAAAATCATGGGGGTCCTTCGTAGTATACGATTTTTGGACACCCCTCCTCCCCCCCCTCATATCAATTTTGTACATGACCACTTTTTCAATAATTTTCAACAAAATTGGCTAGGGGGCCGAGCGCTGCAGCCACATGGTCAATTACATCCATGTCTGACATATAAGATCCATGTACAAATTGTTATGAGGGGGAGGGGGGGGTTCAAAAATCGTATATTAGAATTATCCCGAGCGCTGCGGATAGAACAGGCTAGGGGGCCGTGTGCTGCGGCCACTTGTCAATTATATCCATGTCTTACATATAAGTTCCATATTCAAATTTGATAGAAGGGGGGTGGGGGAGGGAGGAGGGGGGGTCCTAAAATCGTATACTATGAAATTACCCAAAATTATCTATTAATATATAATATATCATGTATTTCAACCAACGATATATTTAAATATTTATAATTTGACAATCTCAGAGTTTAATCCGTTATTTACTTGACTTACGATTTGTTTACCCACCGCCCCTTCATTCAATTTTGTACATTTAGCTCATGGTTACCGAAGTTGGACATGTGGCCGCAGCACCCGGCTCCCTGGCATATCCGAGCCTGTCTTAGCTGTTTCGCTCGACCCACTAGCCTGTCTTAGCTGTTTCGCTCGACCAACTAGCCTGTCCTAGCTGTTTCGCTCGACCAACTAGCCTGTCCTAGCCGCAGCACTCGGACAAAAAATTGTCTAACCTTACCCTGAATTAATACAAAATAAATCAAAAATCGTTTAATATGACAGTCTGTATTTTCTGCATATTAGACCCCCCTATCCCCATGGTGCTTGGCCTTAAAGCTGTCCTATTTGTTGCCCCCACCCCCCCCCCCCCCCCTCCTATCCACAGCTTTCCTATAACCATGACTAGCTATTAAAAAAAAAGAATTTTAATTGCTATTAAAACTATCGTTTTGACATTGAATATTCTAGCTAGAGAACCCTGAATTAGAGTCATGGAGGAGAGCGTAGAAGAGTCGGAGTCCTCAATTCTCCAGTCCAGTGGTCCACGGGGTCCACGGGGTAGACGGGGTGGACGGAGAAGGACCGAGGAACATGTAGATTTGACGGATTCTTCTCCGCAGAAAGATTTGGACGAAACAATTGAAAAAGAAGTTGGGATGACAAGAGGAGGAAGTGGTATGACAAGAGGAGGGCTTGGGATGACTAGAGGTGGAAGTGGGATGACAAGAGGAGCAAGAGGGATGAGAGGAGGTAGTGGTAGAGGGAGGAGAGGAGGAGGGAGGTTGATCAGACCGTTTTATATAGATTTAATGGATTTAACAACTCATTCAAGAGTTGGAGTTGCAGCCAAGATACTCTTAACTAGGCCAGAGTTAATGCAGGGGTAAATATGAAAATAAAATAATTTATTGTCAGGGGCTCACACATTGGGTGATATGGGGGCTAATCCCCCCTGCTGGAAAGTAAAAACTGTGTTTTGACAGGGGGAATTGTCATGTCAGATTACACCTGTACAAATTCCTGAATACTCCCCTGTCAATCGAATTTTGTATATCATTGTTGTCGATTTTTTTTTCGATCCCTGTTTTCACTTTTCATTCTTCTTCCCATTTTTCTTGCAAAATTTGTCTTACTTTTAAATTTTGAATTTTTTTCTTTTTTCTGTTTGATTTAAATACAAATACTTGAGCTGAAATTTGTCTGAAAATTAGAAGTCGGAATATCATGTTTTGAGCAATAGTTGTATTTGTATTTTTTTTTAGGTTATCTATTCCACTGGGAGGAATAGATTTGGATAGCTTCGATAGGTTTACAGTAAAATCGATTGTCCATTCTCCATACAGTCCTAATGCTTTAACCAGTCCTACCACTGCTTTAACCAGTCCTGCCGCTCCTACCAGTCCAACTGCTTCAGCCAGTCCTACTGCTTCAGCCAGTCCTACTGCTTCAGCCAATCCTGCCGCTCCAACCAGTCCTGCTGCTCTAGCCACTCCCTCAACTCCAACCAGTCCTGCTGCTCCTACCAGTCCTACTGCTCCAGACACTCCCTCAACTCCAACCAGTCCTGCCGCTCCCGATAGTCCTTTCAGTCCTACTGCTAGAACCAGAAATATAGCTGCAACCAGAAATGCAGCTAGCCTTGCTAACCCCACCAGCCCTACTGCTGCTTCTGTTAATACTGATGCTGCTCCATCAATCTGGGCTGCTCCAATTAACTCCTTAATGCAAGAAGCGTCTGTTAATAGTCCAGATACTTCTTATAACGAAGGGGAGGTTTTAAATGATTTCTGTGATGTTATAACTTCCATAGGTTCTAATAAACTTTCCTCTAAAGTTGTAGAACCTGAGGTAACACCAACAGTAAAGCCTGCCAGGGGTCGCGGACGGCCCAAAAAAGCTAAACCTTTTAAAGACGATATATCAGCAATGCTAGCCACCTCGCAGGAAATCAAGATTTCTAAAGATATCGTCATCTGTCGCTCCGGGTCTCAAGGGAGTTCTAGTGCAACCTCGGAACCTCGGCCTCAAGACCTGGACAGACTTAGAATAAAGAATATGGAGGCTTTGTCCTCAAGCCTTAAGCAAGGATTGAAGGCTAATATTGAAACAAACCCTCCATTTAAGGTAACAAATAAGAAAAATAGGAGATTGAAAATAAGAATCAAATTTTAGCGTAATAAAAATGGGAGAATCAAATAGGGCGATAAATACTTGCGTCCTGATTAAATTTTTTTGTTCTCTTACCCTCTCCTCTTGCTCAAAGCAGAATTATTTTATCTTTAACATATTAAACTCTTAAAAATATTGTTACCCAAATCCTCAACCAGAAGTTTCTTAAGAAGAATGATATCGAACATGCTTACATTTCAAATATTTAGACTCCCTCTGTGAGACTTCCGGTTACCCCTGGAGCAGTGATTCCTAGTGTTCCTGAAGCAGGGGTTCCTAATACCCTAGGAGGAGGGGTTTTTGGTAACCCTGGAGGAGGGGTTCCTGGTACTCCTGGAGTAGGAATTCCTAGTACCCCTGGAGGAGGGGTTCCTGGTACTCCTGGAAAATTGACACCTGGACCTGGAGAAAAAACTTCGATCCATGAAAACTTTGGAAGAACTATATCTAAACCTTCCAAAAGTTCTGATTCTGTTTCTCATCTGGTAATTTAATAATATTTTAAAAATAAATTTTCTTTCCATTTAAAGAGAATCGCAATGAGTTTTATTCGCTGTACTTCAGAAAATAAATGAATCTTTAGATAAAAATTATCTTAAGGGTAAATAAACTTGCCCTTTATGTCAAATTTCTCATTTTCTTCTCTAGCAGATCGAAAATAGTTCGTCAAATAATATACTTCTGTGATTATTTTATAATTTATAAAATATTATAAACTAGCTGAATTGCGTTGCCCGTGGAATTTAAAAAACGCGTATAAAAAACTTCATATAAAAACAATTTTTTTTCCCTCCCAGGGTATTTATGGATGTCTTAAAAAATGTCAGCTTTGGTCCATCCTTTTAGCCAGCTATAGCCAACTTATATATTTCAGCGAACAGCTTTATTACAGAGATATTTATTTAGAAAATTACTGCTAGTATGTTGCCTGGTATATCGTCAGCAACATTCAACTCATCAGATGAGGCGAGTGAAATTGTAATTGTCAAAATGACTGTGTCCCTCCATGAAAAAATGACAATGCCCGATTTACAACAGTACCCTTCAACCTGTGAATGATCAATTATGTGAAAGATATTGTCGTTAAAAATTCCTAAATGTTTTCCTTCAGTTCTCCTGCGCAAGTCACTTTGGTCAAGAACCTACAATTGAAAATAATCAGTTTTCAACATTATAAACATTGTTCACTGTTCAATATTTGACCCTGACCCCTATTCAGTTTTTCTCTGACCTTTGTTCAGCATTTAACCCTAACCTCTCTGTTCAGTATTTAACCCTGACCTCTCTGTTCAGTATTTAACCCTGACCTCTCTGTTCAGTATTTAACCCTGACCTCTCTGGTTAGTATTTAACCCTAACCTCTCTGTTCAGTGTTTAACCCTAACCTATCTGTACAGTATTTAACCCTTATCTCTCTGTTCAGTATTTAACCCTTATCTCTCTGTTCAGTGTTTAACCCTGACCTCTCTGTTTAGTATTTGACCCTAACCTCTCTGTTCAGTGTTTAACCCTAACCTCTCTGTTCAGTGTTTAACCCTAACCCTAAAGGATGGTGGACTGCTCCAGGCTAGTCCTACATCAAGTTCACGGTGGTTCTCAATTCCTCTTATTGGAAAGTAAGAAAATATTTCTAGATAAATAACAATTACGTAATTTTTTAACTAATGATAAAAATGCTGGATTTAGTTTTGATTCTTAAATTAATGATTTTATCTTTTTTTTAAAGATCTAAATATTTATTTTGTAGCAGAGATTAAGATATTACAATTGTATTACAAGTTTACAACTTTCTACTTCCTTCAGAGTTGACATCACACCTCTGTTTCTTCTCCTTCTCCTGTTGACGGGTCGAGAAACTCTAGAAAATGAGAAAAATTCTTCTCCATCTTTAGTCCACAGGTTAAGCTTGATATCCAGTCCTAGATCCAATCCTTCCCTATACAACTCCAAGAGTTTATGTGTAATTCTCATTGTTTGTGTTTCAAACTCCCCGCCATAGCAACAGCTAGCTGGGTCAGCTGGTTTCAGGCTAGGAGAGAGAGAGTCACAGAGATGTGGTGTTGCTAGCAGGGTTAGGGGGAGACTGATTTTATCAGTAAATAGTTTGATGATGGGAAAATAAGAGGTTTTTAATGAAAGAATACTTTGATTGGCAGATATCTATATTTTCTTGAAAAATCTTTTCGTTCCCACAATATCAAACCCTTTAGGAAGTTTTGAAAACCATTTTGGTTTTATCGGTGAAATTGGGAAATATTTTGGATTTATTGGACAACAAATAAGTTCTTTAGATTGTAAAATCATTTTTCATTTTGTTTGTTTTGAAATAATTTCATTAGTTAATTGATTGATCAATCATTGATTTTTTTATGATTAATGAATTTATTTGATAATTAATTTACTAATTAATTAGTTGATTGATTGTATGTTTATTTACAAAAAAAAATATAACTTCAGATTTCTGTATTACAACTTGAATTCGAACCAGATTTGCGATTCTCTACCAGAACTTGTACAAGAGGTAGGATTAATTTTTCTTTGTATGTTACATACACCCAAAAATCAATAGACAATTGAAAGAGTACATCATACATTCTTAAATAGACTTTTACAAGCTGATACAGTTAAGATAAACTCTGAGACTGTGTGTTCAAGACGTAAGATAGACTCTTTGACATCGTACAACAGACTTTTAACAGCTACTAAATACTCTTTGCTGTGCAAAGAAGACGGTAGACAGCGTACAACAGACTCTGAGACAGTGTATACAAGACGTTAGACTGTGTACAATTGGCACTAAAAAAATTATTAACAGTAATTTTTGTATACAAAGGAAAATCTGGAAGAAACAAAGGAAGACGAGCCGAGAATATTAGTACCCTCTTCCCTTGCTTCAAGGGTACCTGGACCCAATGTGTCTGCTGCTAGAACACGTGGACCCAACTCTGCTTCACGGTTTCCGGGAGAGAAAGTGAAACCTCGACCCAGCAAGACCGTAATCTGCGGTGTGCCTAGCTGTATGGGGATCGTTAATCTGAGTGAGTTCGACGCGCATTGTAAATCTACACACGCTAATCTTGAAACAAAAGATCGTAATTTTTACGAGATTCCTGTTCAATCCAAACAATCGGAGCCAACGGATCCCCATGATATAGGACCTCGAAGATCAGGGCGTAAACTTCGGCGCAACGTGACGAAACCAAAAGCTGCTCGTCCAGCGAGCAATCTTATTCAGTTTTTCGAATCATTTATTCCAGAAGAGTTGAAAAACAGGTTGGTCTTTTAATATAAAAAATAGGGGTCGAGGGGGGGGGGGG